GGGGAGAATGATAAACCTTGAGCAAGTTACCGAACTCTTTTAAAGGTATGATCTTCAACAGAGCTGTGGCCATTTACAAAGGTGTGGCTTTTCACAAGGTGTGACGTTTCCCTTCACGATGAGGACCCCCCGAACTCACCAGTCGCCTCATAAGCCTTGCCGTCAATTCTTGCGCCCGGGACAAAGATAACTGCTGCCTCTGGTCCTGAGCTTCTGATTGGTGGAATGATGTATGACGTCACCGCCAGACTTTGGCCAATGAACAGCGCCGAGAACATGGCGGTGAGGAGGAGGAGGGAAGTCATCGTGGATGTCTGTAGTCACACAAGGAAATGTTAGTGGAAACTACAGAGAGATCTGTCGGTCGTTACATATGGAAATGTTAGTGGAAACTACAGATAGATCTGTCTGTCGTTACACAAGGAAATGTTAGTGGAAACTACAGATACATCTGTCGGTCGTTACACATGGAAATGTTAGTGGAAACCACAGATAGATCTGTCTGTAGTCACACAAGGAAATGTTAGTGGAAACCATAGATCTGTCGGTCGTTACACAAGGAAATGTTAGTGGAAACTACAAATAGATCTGTCGGTCGTTACACAAGGAAATGTTAGTGGAAACTACAAATAGATCTGTCGGTCGTTACACATGGAAATGTTAGTGGAAACCACAGATAGATCTGTCGGTCGTTACACAAGGAAATGTTAGTGGAAACGACTGGAAAAATATGGCATAATATCTTGTTTGTCGTTGTTGTTGTTGTTGTTGTTGTTGTTGTTGTTGCTTTTGTTGTTGGTGTGATAGTAGTGTTGGTGGTAGTAGTTTCTGTTGTTGTTGTTTAGATTAATTTTACCGTTGTTTGTTGTTCAGTTGAATGTTACAACACTTGGGCAAGTTACTGGAGTCATCCGTAAACGCTCCTCTAAAATGTAAACTCAAACTGAACAAATTGAACAAATTGTAGACAGTCATCAAATGCTGGATGTATGTCACGGAAAAAAAAATTGTCGGAAGTAGTACCGGTAAAAGGTTGTGGTCAGTCTGTCGACTAGCGGTCATACTTGTCGGTTCAGTGTCTGCAGTTTTTAAAACTTTAATGTTTTGTTTTTGTCTGTTTTTGTCCTTTTTGCAATAAATGTGAGAGTCAATGAACATTTAGAAACTTACAGTCAGCACTGACATAGTTACAGCAAAGATCGTACATAGCAAGATAGTTCACTCCTCTCTTTGAGCCAATTGAAAAAGTCTCCTCAAAATCTGGTGGCGCCCTCTTCGAAAAAGTGCTGACTTTGCAAACAGAGTTACCCTTGACCTACTTGTGTGAAAAACAAGAAAACCGAAACCAACAAACTGTGCTATTCCTATTCTTCTTCTGGAGAAACGAAAGAGAGCTTCAAAACAAAGACTGCAGCGCCCTCTGAAGCAACAGACTCCCGCGTACACTTTTTTGGCTGAGTGAACTATCTTGTTATATTTTGTTTTTAGTAGAGGTTTTACTGCGCTCGAAACTGCATAATCTTGTTATGTACCATCTTTGCTTACTGTCAACCTTGAGATACTTACAAAGAGACGCGGTTTAATCGAAGATACTCGGAGATTTTTTTCTCTTTTCAATAAATCGAATTCAGAGATGTGAAAAGTTATACAAAATTTCCCGCGGTGAATGTTTGGGTTCGTCTGTCCCGCCACTCACAGACTTCTGGTCCTGGGCGTGTGGGTGTGTCCTTATATATATATACACGGGATATCACAGAGGTGATGGGACGGGAAGATTGCGAAATGTTGCTTGTGTAAGGGCGATGAGTGGCTGATGAACCAAGGTACGGCAATTTCCCCGATTGTTGGGTAAAACGCGGTGCACACTCGTCCGATTTTGTCAAATCGGTTCGTGACTTGATATTATCGTAAAGTCTGTTCATTTGCCTTCCATCTGGTGAAAGAAAATATGTTGAATAGAAGTCGAAATATTTGCGATTGAAGGTGGTCAGGGTCGCCTAATTTCAGAAGTAAAATTAGCGAGAAAATGACCATCGAAGTTTGGTAGCTTCTATCGCTTGAGAGTCCTTGGAAACTGACAATTTACATTTTTGTATACTTTTAATGAAATTTTCTTTTTGGCGTGAAATCCACACTTAATGTGTTTTTAAATGCACATAAAAGTGTTGAGCCCCCAAGAACGAGGTGTTTTGGGAAGAAAAAAAATGCTCATCGGCCCCAATTTTTTTTTTTAATGCCGATTTCTTTGATTTAATTATTTTGCCGAGCGCCTGATTTCCCCACGATGCCCCACATATTGCCCC